AAAAGAGATAATAAATAGTTGGTTTGCGTAACTCCTAATAGTAGGCTCTATCACGACTCCCGAGGGTGGGAAATCCGGGTCGTGATAGTTTTTTTTAGATAATTTAGCTATGATTGTGCTTGGGCTTGAGTTTCACGCCTTTGAGTTCAGGTTTGGGCTGGGTTCCGAATGGATTCAGGGTCAATTTGACCCATAACCCGTTTTGGGTTCAGGGGGTAATAACAGTGTTCTAAAAGGGTAATTTGGGTAATTGAAATGGGGAATCTTTTGTAACAAGAAAGGGAAGCTTCTAGAAAGCTGGGGAAGGCGTTTATTTTGTAATTCTGATATGTGAACTGAGGCTATTTGAGCAAAATCAAAAATTGAATAAGGACTCCTAAGCTAAAATCAGAATTTGAAAAGGGCCTAAGGTGCAAAAACTGAGACTTGGTTGCTGCCCTACTTCCTTGCCTATAAAGGCATCTCTTCCTTGCATTTCAAGGAGACCTTAGAGATTTTAAGAGAGAAAAATCCAGAAAAACTCAAAAACGGCTAGAAAATATCAGAAAACTACTGTTTCATTAAGCTTTTGCCTTGAATTTTGAGGTTTTAAATTTCTGAAGCAATTCTCTGAATCATGTGGGGTTAAAATGGACCGAGCTTTGGGTTTCAAAAGTTTGGGTTGAAGATTTGCTTTGGTAGTGCTTTGGGACTGTTTTCACCTCATTTTCTATTTGAAATTGGTTGTTGGTGTTAAACCCTGTTGTGCTGCTGCTGTTGTTGATTTCTGCTTTTCCTCTGCTGATCCCTCATTTTTCTTTCCCTATTTCAATCTCCAGGTACACACCTCTGATTTTAGGCATGTAAAAAATAGCTCATGAAGTGTTTTGATGAAGATATATGAAGATTATGTTCTCTTTTTGTTAGATGTTCTTTTCTTTAGTTTCTTTCTCAGCTAGTTATGTTAATTTCTTTGGCTCAGCATGCTCAATGTGAAGTTACGTTTAAGGATTCTGAGTACTATGTTGGAATTGTAATGGAGTTATTGTTAGATTTGCTGATTTCCATTTACTCGGTTCTCTAGGTTTTGTTACTGATAGAGGAGTCAATTGGTTTTAGATCCCTGATATGTTTATGAATTCAAATTACAGGACTATGTGGTTAATTACAAAGCTGCTATAGTTGAAATTGAGCATGTATGTGAAAGGGGATTGGGGAAAATTTATCATGTTAAAGTGCATCAGGTTTACTGCTGGTATAGACTCAAATTCGAGTATGCTTCTCTGATTTTGGGCCTGGGCATTATCAGGGCTTTTAAGTTTGGATCGAGCTTGGTTTTTATACCTCACATGTTTAAGTTCACTTATGCACAAATCTGGATTTTGATTTATTGATTTCAGTAGCACGTTAGTTTGGTGTTGCCTATGTTCACACATGAGTTCTTAAGTGTGTAAAGGATTGTGAGCAGAAGTTGAGTTTAAAATCAAATTTGAAGGTTCATGAGTTTGTTTTAATGCTTGCACTCGTTTTTCTCAGAAAATTTTAAGGCCGTGTAGTTTTGTTAAATGGTGGGATTCGAAATGGGATCCTATGATCTACTGAAGTGGCTTGCTCCCCAACTTGGGCTCTCATTTGAGCCAGTGCGATTTGGCTTTAAGAATTACCGGTACAGGACAGCTTTGCACTTCACAGGCTGTTGGGCCTCACGCCTAGCCCAAGCCCCCCTTTGAACCTTCAGCTCTTCGTCTTTCTTAAAGTAATTCAGGCAGTAGTATAATTCTGACTCCTTAATTGTTCAAATAATCAAACTTCTTAAGTTAAGGGAGGCGCGCCATGTTAGATAACACAAATAATTATGGCCCTCCGAATTTTAGTTTGAATACCCTTTAAAATGGAATTGAGGTGCGCCGTGCCAAATAAAATCTCAAATGCGTGGCCCTCACTTAATTATTTCTTTTAAAATCCTTAGAATTCGAGGCGTGCCATTTAGGAAATTTCCATGGCCCTCCCAAAGTTAACAACACGTAGTTGCTTCAGGCGCGTCATTTTAATAATATTACCTTCTTAAACTCGGATGTGCATTTCATGTGACCCAAATCCAAATCTTAACAATGTTAGATAGAATTGTGTCGTGGACCGCGGGTGCATTTCATGTGACGTGGTTCAAGACGTGTTTTAGATAACGTTGAATCTTCCTAAAATTAATTAAAAGCGGTTAATAAGTTAAAATAGACCATAGGCTAAAACATGTATTAAAATCAGATAATAAGCCAATTATAATAGTTTAAGCGACCGTGCTAGAACCACGGAACCCGGGAATGCCTAACACCTTCTCCCGGGTTAACAGAATTCATTACTTAGAATTTCTGGTTTGCAGACTTCAAAAGGAAAGTCGATTTTCCTCGATTTGGGATTTTAAAATAAACTGGTGACTTGGGACACCAAATAAACTATCCCAAGTGGTGACTCTGAATTGAATAAATAATCTCATTTCGAATAATGTCACTTATAGTGGAAAAACTCCCTTATATCACCTTCAGGGTGTATAAAAAGGAGGTGTGACAATACATAAGGAGCAATAAAGAGGGAGAAAGCAGAGCCGCGATCGCCAGGCAGCTACCTTGCTAACTCCAATGACAACTGCCACCAAGCTCAGAAAATACCTGAATCTGCACATAAGGTGCAGGGAGTAAAATNGGCGAGAACACGTGCTTCCTCTTCTATCGTGCAGCAGCCCCGAGCCCCCAGCAGCAGTTCCTACAAGGGGCAGAGGGCGAGGCCAAGGCCGTGCTAGGGGCCGAGGCGGGGGCAGAGCTCAGCCCCGAGCAGCAGTCCCAGAGGTGGAGCCTCATGTTGATTATGATGAGGAGGTTCCAGCCCCAGCAGCTCCGGTGGGCCCAGCTCAGGTCCCTGAGGGGTTCATAGCCACCCCAGTTCTTCAGGACGCTTTGGTCAGATTGGTAGGCTTTGTGGAGAGCGTCACTAGAGCGGGTTTGCTTCCAGTAGCACCAGCCACTTCTCAGGCTGGAGGAGGAGTTCAGACTCCTGCTACACATACTCCGGAGCAGGTAGCTCCCAGGCTCAGGTTCTAGTGGTTCAGCCAGTTGTGGCAGTCCAGCCGGGTATTGTGACTCAGACCGGCGATGGAGCGGCTATGTCAGCAGATGCTTTGTGGAGACTGGATAGGTTCACCAAGCTCTTCACCACCACATTCAGCGGTGCTTCTTCAGAGGACCCCCAGGATTTCTTATATAGCTGCCATGAGGTTCTTCGGACTCTGGGTATTGTGGAGACCAATGGGGTCGACTTCGCCACCTTTCGTCTATCTGGATCCGCCAAGACTTGGTGGAGGGACTATTGTTTAGCCAGACCAGCAGGGTCGCCATCTCTGGCTGGGGACCAGTTTGCAGAGTTGTTCTTGGAGAAGTTTCTCCCCGTTACTCAGCGAGATGCTCTTCGTAGGCAGTTTGAGCGCCTTCAGCAGGGCTCTATGACAGTCACACAGTATGAGACCCGATTCATTGATCTAGCTCGCCATGCTATTGTTATACTCCCCACCGAGAGAGAGAGGGTGCGGAGGTTTATTGAGGGATTGATTCAGTCGATCCGTCTCCAGATGGCTATGGGAGCCGGGAGTGAGATTTCTTTTCAGGAGGCGGCCAATGCGGCCCGTAGAGTTGAGATGGCTCTTGCACGGGGAGGTGGTCATGGGTCAGATAAGAGGCCCCGTCATGCAGGTAGATTCAGTGGTACCTCGTCTGGAGGTAGAGATTCTTATGGTAGAGGCCATCCTCCGAGGCCCTTTCAGTCAGCTCACCAGGTCTCTCATGGTTCTTCAAGCGGTAGTGGTTCTCAGCCGCATTATTCTAATCAGCAGTCTTTCAGTGCACCACCAGCTCCCATCAGTGCACCGCCACTTCAGAGTTTCCGGGGAAAACATTCAGGTCGACAGGGTCAGCAGCCGAGGGCTTGTTACGGTTGTGGTGACCCGAGTCACATTGTCAGATTTTGCCCTCGAGCTTCGGGTAGTTCCCAGCAGCAGGGTCCTTGCCCCATCATTCAGGCACCAGGTGATCCACAGGCCGCCCAGCCAGCTAGACGCGGGGGTAGAGGTCATAGAGGTGGAGGTAGGGATCGTAGAGGTGGAGCTCGGACCGCCAAAGGTTGAGGCCAGCCAGCAGCCGACCGTTCCAGGGATGTGGTTCAGGGAGGTGGGGCCCAGCCCCGGTGTTATGCTCTTCCAGCCAGGCCAGAGGCTGAGTCTTCAGATGCAGTTATAACAGCTACTATTCTGGTCTGTGATAGAGATGCTTCAGTGCTATTTGACCCCGGGTCTACGCATTCGTATGTGTCATCCTATTTTGCACCACACTTGGTCATGCCTAGTGATGCTTTGAGTATTCCTGTTTATGTATCTACACCGGTGGGTGATTCTATTGTGGTCGACCGAGTGCATTGATCTTGTGTGGTAGTGTTTCAGGGTCTTGAGACCCGTGTTGATTTATTGCTCTTAGACATGGTGGATTTCGATGTTATATTAGGGATGGATTGGTTGTCCCCGTATCATGCTATCTTAGATTGTCACGCCAAGACCGTGACCTTGGCTTTGCCAGATTTGCCAGGTTTTGAGTGGGACCCCAGGGCGTACCACCCCCAGAGTTATTTCATATGTGAAGGCCCGACGCATGGTCGAGAAGGGGTGTTTAGCTTATCTGGTGTATGTTCGCGATTCCAGCACAGAGGTCCCTTCTATTGATTCTGTTCCTATTGTTTGGGAGTTCCCCGAGGTTTTCCCTTCAGACCTGCCGGGTATGCCGCCCGACAGGGATATTGATTTTTGTATTAATCTGGCTCCGAGCACTCAGCCCATTTCCATTCCGTCGTATCGCTTGGCCCCGCCAGAGTTGAAAGAGTTAAAGGATCAGTTGCAGGATTTGCTTGTGAAGGGTTTCATTAGACCCAGCGCTTCGCCTTGGGGTGCGCCGATGTTATTTGTGAAGAAAAAGGATGGTTCGATGAGGATGTGCATTGATTACCGGCAGTTGAACAAGGTAACGATAAAGAACAAGTATCCACTGCCGAGGATTAACGATTTGTTCGACCAGCTTCAGGGCGCGAAGGTGTTTTCAAAGATAGACTTGAGATCTGGCTACCACCAGTTGAGGATTAGGGCATCCGATGTCCCTAAGACAGCATTCCGCACTCGGTATGGGCATTATGAGTTTTTGGTCATGTCATTTGGGTTGACCAATGCCCCAGCAGCATTTATGGAGTTGATGAACCGAGTGTTCAGGCCTTATTTGGACTTGTTCGTGATAGTTTTCATTGATGATATTCTGATATACTCCCGCAGTCAGGAGGAGCACGAGCAGCACCTTAGAGTGGTTCTTCAGACTCTGAGGGATAGTCAGTTATATGCCAAGTTCTCCAAGTGTGAGTTCTGGCTGAATTCAGTAGCGTTTCTGGGTCACGTTGTATCAGCAGAGGGTATTCAGGTGGACCCGAAGAAGATTGAGGCAGTCAAGAACTGGCCTCGACTAGCTTCAGCTATAGAGATTCGGAGTTTCTTGGGGTTGGCAGGCTACTACAGACGGTTCGTGGAGGGATTTTCATCTATTGCAGCCCCGATGACCAGATTGACCCAGAAGGGTGCCCAGTTCAGATGGTCGTATGAGTGTGAGGCGAGCTTTTAGAAGCTCAAGACAGCTCTGACTACGGCACCGGTGTTGGTTTTGCCCACAGGTTCAGGGCCTTATACAGTCTATTGTGATGCTTCCCGTATTGGGCTTGGTGCAGTATTGATGCAGGATGGCAGAGTCATAGCCTATGCTTCGAGGAAGTTGAAGATCCACGAGAAGAATTATCTGGTTCATGATCTAGAGTTGGCAGCCATTGTTCATGCTTTGAAGATTTGGAGGCATTATCCATATGGTGTGACGTGTGAGGTGTACACTGATCACAAGAGTCTTCAGTACTTGTTCAAGCAAAAGAAGTTGAATTTGAGGCAGAGGAGGTGGTTGGAGTTGCTGAAAGATTATGATGTTACTATCTTGTACCACCCGGGGAAGGCCAATGTGGTGGCCGATGCATTGAGTAGGAAGTTCGCCAGCATGGGTAGTCTTGCTTATATCCCGGCCAGCCAGAGGCCGCTTTCTTTGGATGTTCAGGCTTTGGCCAATCGATTTGTGAGGTTGGACATCTCTAAGCCTAGCCGAGTGTTAGCTTACACGGTTGCTCGTTCTTCATTATTGGAGTGTATCCGTGATCGGCAGTTCGATGATCCCCATTTGTGTGTCCTGAGAGACACGATGCAGCGTGGAAGTGCTAAGAAGGTGACCTTAGATGATGATGGTGTCTTGAGACTGCAGGGGCGAGTTTGTGTGCCCAATGTTGATGGGATTAGAGAGTTGATCTTAGCGGAGGCCCATAGCTCCCGGTGTTCTATTCACCCGGGCGCCGCGAAGATGTATCAGGATCTGAGGCAGCACTATTGGTAGCGTAGAATGAAGAAAGATATTGTTGCATATGTGGCTCGATGTTTGAACTGTCAGCAGGTTAAGTATGAGCATCAGAGGCCTGGTGGGTTGTTTCAAAGGATTGAGCTTCCCGAGTGGAAGTGGGAGAGGATTACTATGGATTTTGTTACTGGACTCCCGTTGACCCGGAAGAAGTTTGATGCGATTTGGGTCATTGTTGATAGGCTGACCAAGTCAGCACATTTTGTTCCTGTTGCAACCACTTATTCATCCGAGAGGTTAGCCGAGATCTACATCAGAGAGATTGTTCGCCTTCATGGGGTGCCGGTATCTATCATTTCGNATAAGGTGCAGGGAGTAAAATGAGTACTGCCAACTCAGTGAGTAATAATCATAACTAAAGTCTGAATGGTAAGAAATCACGAAAAGAGCATCAACATGCTGTATAGAAGCAGTTTCAAAATCCAGTAGAAAGCAATGAAGCTATAAGGAAAACAGTGAGGAAATATCAACAAAGATCCCCGAAGGGTCCAAATAGTTGGCACGAAGCCCAAATACGGCATGCAGCCCAAATAATGATGATAACAAATAGATTTCAGTCAAATACGCGATAAAATCATCAATCGGGACGGACCAAGTCACAGTCCCCAATAGTGCACGACCCCACGCTTGTCATCAAGCGTGTGCCTCACCTCAATATAGCACTACAATGTGCGATCCGGGGTTTCAAACCCTCAGAACATCATTTACAATCATTACTCACCTCGAACCGGCTTATCTCTAGCCCGCGAAACCTTTTCCCTTGAATTGGCCTCCACGCACGTCGAATCTATCCAAAATCAGAACGAGGACGTCAAAATATGCCAAGGGAACAAAGCCCAAGCGAAAACAATCAATAAAGGGCACAAATCCCAAAATTAGCAAAACCTGAGCCCCGGCCCACTTCTCGAAACTCAGAAATTTTTACATCAATAGATTCCTTATCTCCCCACGAGTTCATACATATCAAAAGTGTTCAAATCCGACCCCAAATGGTCCTTCAAATCCCAAATCAAAAGTCCAATTCCTCAAGCCCTAGTTCTTCAATTTTTTTGGCTTAGTTTTCATGATTTTCTAGGTGGAATTCACATAATAATCGAGTTTTAAGTTCGAAAATCTTACCTCTCAACGATTCCTCTTGAATCCCTCTTCAATCCCCTTCAAACATCTCCCAAAATGGCCAACTATGGAGGAAATAAACCTCAAAATCGCGGACAAGACGAGTTAAAAACATTCTGCCCAGGTCTGACTTTCCTTCTTCGCGAACGCAATCAACCCCTCGCGTTCGCGAAGCACGAACTTACGTTGACCAACTTTTGCTCTACACGAACGCGACATGACAGCCACGAACGCGATGCCTTGATCAGACCACTCTTCGCGAATGCGCCCACCATTACGCGAACCCGATGAACATTTGACCTCAAACCACAGCTGACCCAATTCCTCTACGCGATCGTGAAGTACTTCTCGCGAACGCGATTCACAAATTCCCAGCCCTCCGCGAACGCGAAGCCCTTCACGCGAATGCGAAGGCTTAAATCCTTGCCTTCCTCAACTGCCCTCTTCGCGAACGCGAGGCTCCACTCGCGAACGTGAAGGGTAAAATCCTTGCAACAGCTGAACAGATTTTCTGCAACTTCCTTAACCCAAAAATGATCTGATTGACCACCCAAAATTCACCCGAGGCCCCCGGGACCTCAACCAAAGGCACCAACATATCCTAAAACCTTATTCAAACTTGTTCCAATCATCGAACCACCTCAAACAACATCAAATCACCCAAAACACATCGGATTCAAGCCTAAGTTTTCTAAAACCTTCCGAAATACGCTTTTGATCTAAAATCCAACCAAACCACTTCCGAATAACCTAAAATTTTGCACACACATCCTAAATGCCACAACGGAACTACTGCAACTTTCAGAATTCCATTCCGACCTCTATATCAAAATCTCACCTAACAACCAAAAAACGCCGAAATCTCAATTTCGCCAATTCAAGCCTAAACCTTCCACGGACTTCCAAAATGCATTCCGATCACGCTCCCAAGTCTCAATTCACCTACCGGAGCTATCCTAATCATAAAAATTCCGATCCAAAATCATATACAAACAAGTCAAATTTTGGTCAAACCTTTCAAATTTCAAGCTTCAAACTGAGAACTGTTCTTCCAAATTTATTCCGATTAACCTGAAACCAAAATCAACGATTTACATAAGTCATAATGCACCACATGGGGCAAGTCATGCCCGGTAACTGACGAACAAAGTGTAAAAGCTCAAAACGACCGGTCGGGTCGTTACATGAAGCAACATAGTTTTCATACACCTTATGAGAAAAAAGAAAAAGAGTAGTTGATTGTTTCTGAATATCAAGGTCCCACTTCTTACTTTATTCTTTTCGAATTTTGGAGAAATTATGATTGTTCATTGTCTTATATTTTTCTAATTAAGTGATGATGCTTATTAATTTTGTAATAAGAAATATATAACTGTAACGACCCAAAGGGGTCATCACCTATTTTCTCATTCATTCCGTGCTTCCGAGGCCTCAAAAACCTCATTCAGGGTTGCCTCGATTTGCGTGCGCAGTCCGGGCGCGTAGCCGGAAAGCTTAAATATGAATTCCGTGTGAAAAATGCTAAATTTTTTTATTAATATGAATATATTTGACTTCGGTCAACATTTTGGGTGAACGGACCCGGACCCGTCCGTAGAAAAATATGGGACTCGAGCGTATGCCCGGAATCGGATTCCGATGTTCCAAGCCTGAGAAATGATATTTTGAGTAAAACTGTTTTTTTCTGAAATTATCAAGGGAACTGGAAATGAAATTTGATTAAAAGACTGTGGTATTGGGCCTGTATTTTGGTTCTGGCACCCGGTACATGTCTTATATATGATATATGCGCTTTCTGTAAAGTTTTGTTGAAATCGGACGTCGTTTGACGTGTTTCGAACATAAAATAGAAAATTGATGTTTTATGAAATTTGGGAAGAATTCATGAGTTTTGAGGCTTGATCCGTTGATTTTGATGTATTTTGGCGATTTGATCGCACGGGTAAGTCCGTAGGGTGTTTTTGGAGTTATGTGTATGTTTGGTTTGGAGCCCAGAGGGCTCGGGTGAGTTTTGAGTAGGCCCCGGGAGGTCTTAGACTTAGAAATAACAGATGTTGCAGGTTTAGGGAGTTGTAGGCTCCAGCGCGCCCGCGGTCGCCTTAGCACGGTCCGCGGTGCGTGCTGCGCGGACGGGGTCGCCTTAGTACGGTCCGCGGTGGAAGCTACGCGGCCGCGATCGTCCATGCGCGGTCCGCGTAGCTAACTTCAGAGAGCCGGCATTTCCCAGGTCTACCAGCGCGGCCGCGTTCCCCTTTGTGCGGTCCGCGCTGGAGGGTTCAGAGAGTGGTATTTGTACAGTTCTTCAGTGCGGTCATGGTCCATTTTTGCGCGGTCCGCGCTGGGTTTTCAGAGGGTATATAAGGTCGGGAATTTCGCTCATTTTTTCACTTTTTCAAAGCCCAAAACGTAAGAGGCGATTTTTCAAACGATTCTTCTTCTCCAAAACGATTGCTAAGTGATTTCTAACTCATTTTCTTTACTCCTTAACATCTTTAAACATAATTTCAACTTCAAAACAAAGATTTTAATGGGGAAATTTGGGAATTTTGGGTAGAGCCTAGGTTTTCTAAAATTGGGGGTTTTGGACCTCAATTCGAGGTCCGATTCCAAAGTAAATTATATATCTGAGTTCATGGGGGAATGGGTAATCGGGTTTCGGTTCGAACCTCGGGTTTTGACCATGTGGGCCCGGGGGCTTTTTTGACCTTTTGGGGTAAATGGATGCAAAAGCTATAATTAGACATTGGGTTCGATTTGTTTAGCATATATTGATAACGTGAAGTCATTATTGCATAAATTTGGTTGAGTTGGAGCCGAGTTCGAGAGGGAAAGCGGTTGTTGAGGATTGAATTAGCCGTGGAAGTTGAGGTAAGTGTTTGGTTTAACCCTAGCTTGAGGGAATAGGAGTTGAGTCTTGTTTGCTATTTGCTAATTGATCGAGTACGATGTATAGGCATGGTGACGAGTATCTATACATTGGTGTCTAGCATGACCGTGAGTCCTTAAAGGGTGATTATCATGATTTTGTTGTGAATTCCATGTTAATTGAGGGTTTCTATATATGTAAAGACATGTGAAAAACATTATAATCNTCCCTTGCCAAGATTTAACTGTTTACTTGTGTTTCCCTTGCCGGGACTTCTATTACCGTTTGTCTATCCCCTCGCCCCATTGGTTGTGATTGTTGCTTGGGTGAGGAAGAGTGATAAAGCACGAAGGGTGATGCCGTGCACGATTGTGATATGAATACTAATGCACGAAGGAACATTCCGTGCCATGTTTTGATTACTAATGCACGAAGGAACATTCCGTGCCATGTTTGATTATTGATGCACGAAGGAACATTCCGTGCCATGTTTTGATTATTAATGCACGAAGGGACATTCCGTGCCATGTTCTGAGACTAATGCACGAAGGGTCATTCCGTACCATGACATGAGTGTTTATGTGAAGAAAAGCACGAAGGTTGATGCCGTGCACTTTATATGATTGTTTGGGTGAGAATGAGAGTAAAAACACGAAGGATGGTGCCGTGCAATTGTTGATTTCCTACTTTCGTTGATATTGTAGCTGTACCGTTCCATCCCTTATTTATTGATTTTGTATTCTAAACTGTTACAGCCCCTACAGCATGCTCCCCTCCCCCTTGACTGGTTATTTTCTGTATACCTTTATATTGCATACATATATATTGAACTGCACAGGTTTGTTTGGTAGTCCGGTCTAGTCTCGTCACTACTTCGTCGGGGTTAGGCCATCCGGTCTAGCCTCGTCACTACTTCGCCGGGGTTAGGCCAGGCACTTACCAGCACATGGGGTCGGTTGTGCTGATGCTACACTCTGTGCATCTTTTTGCACAGATCACGGTGCCGGAGCAGCTTTTGGACAGCAATAGTAGATTTGGGAGCTAAATTCAGTCCGGAGACACCGAGGTAGCCTTGCTGACGTCCGCAGGCCCGAAGTTTCTTCTATCTTTACTTTAGTTTGTTATCCTTTGTACCGGAACAAGCAAAACTATGTTTTTATTCAGACATTGTATTTAGCATTCTCTAGACGTTCGTGAGTTTGTGACTCCAGTTCTTGGGTAGAGTTGTATTGAACTTCCGCATTGCTTTCAGTTTATTTATATTTAAGACTTCCGCTTTTCTATTAAATGTTTCATTGTTTTCAATGATGTCGAGGCTTGTTAAAAGAGATAATAAATAATTGGCTTGCCTAGCTCCTAATAGTAGGTGCCATCACGACTCCCGAGGGTGGGAAATCCGAGTCTTGACAAGTTGGTATCAGAGCACTAGGTTACATAGGTCTCACAACTCACGGACAAACTCGGTAGAGTCTGAGGGATCGGTACGGAGACGTCTGTATTTATCCCCCAGAGGCTACAGAGTTAGGAAAATCTCACTTTTGTTCTTTCTTGTCGTGCGATTCTGTTTCTCAAATACTGATTGTCTCTCTACTATCTCCTTTCGCAAATGGCGAGAACACGTGCTTCCTCTTCTACCGCGCAGCAGCCCGAGCCCCCAACAGCAGCTCCTACGAGGGGCAGAGGGCGAGGCCGAGGCCTTGCCAGAGGCCGAGGCAGGGGCAGAGCTCAGCCCCGAGCAGCAGTCCCAGAGGTGGAGCCTCATGTTGATTATGACGAGGAGGTTCCAGCCCCAGCAGCTTCGGTGGGCCCAGCTCAGGTCCCAGAGGGGTTTATAGCCACCCCAGTTCTTCAGGACGCTTTGGTCAGGTTGGTAGGCTTTATGGAGAGCGTCTCTCAAGCGGGTTTGCTTCCAGTAGCACCAGCCACTTCTCAGGCTGGAGGAGGAGTTCAGACTCCTGCTACACGTACTCCGAAGCAGATAGCTCCCCAGGCTCAGGTTCCAGTGGTTCAGCTGTGGCTGTCCAGCCGGGTATTATGACTCAGACCGGCGATGGAGCTGCTATGTCCGCAGATGCTTTGTGGAGACTGGATAGGTTCACCAAGCTCTTCACCACCACATTCAGCGATGCTTCTTCAGAGGACCCCCAGGATTTCTTATATAGCTGCCATGAGGTTCTTCGGACTATGGGTATTGCGGAGACCAATGGGGTCGACTTCGCCACCTTTCGTCTATCTGGATCCGCCAAGACTTGGTGGAGGGACTATTGTTTTGCCAGACCAGCAGGGTCGCCATCTCTGACTTGGGACCAGTTTGCAGAGTTGTTCTTGGAGAAGTTTCTCCCCGTTACTCAGCGAGATGCTCTTCGCAGGCAGTTTGAGCGCCTTCAGCAGGGCTCTATGACAGTCACACAGTATGAGACCCGGTCGCCAAGCCATTGTTATACTCCCCACCGAGAGAGAGAGGGTGCGCAGGTTTATTGAGGGATTGATTCAGCCGATCCGTCTCCAGATGGCTATGGGAGCCGGAGTGAGATTTCTTTTCAGGAGGCGGCC